TCAGAGTACATCAATCAACCAACTCGCGTGAAAGGTTATGAATGTAGACCACAGTCCTGTGTTGTTGCTGCGCCATGTCTTCTTCGGCAGATAAACAGGGAACGTGTTTAGATCGGGGTTTGGTGTATCGTTGCCCCCCCCCCACCCCCAAATGTAATCCGTATAGGGGTGCTGCTCCCCTGACTACCTTAGGTTATGTTGTAGCACTTCTCAGGCACTGTTGCTTTCATTGATGCTGTCAGTGTTTGACAGCTCTTCAGACAATTGTCCGCTCGTTTTAACAGTCATGTCCACATGACAGTGCCATAGTGCCATGTTGTCATGACAGTGCCAGTGTTGTCATGACATGACTGGTATTATCATGTCATGGCTGGTACTGTCATGTTGTCATGACATGACTGGTACTGTCATGTTGTCATGACATAAATGGGGCTGCCATGACATGAGTGGTACTCTCATGTTATCATGACAGTGCTGGTGTTGTCATGACATGACTGGTACTGTCATGACACGAATGGTGCCATCATGTTGTTTACTTGTATCGCTGCCTTCAGTTGACGGTGTTTTGGAATGTGGCAGCCTAGAGTACATTAGTCAGTCACGTGATGACAGATGAAGCCTTGCTGGCAGGTCACATGACCAGACTAGATCAGACAGGCTACTTCAATCATGGCTTGAGGCATTCATGGCTTGGTACTGATTGGTAATATACGGGGATCATAGTGCAATAAACTCTTTGGTAATATACGGGGATCATAGTGCAAGCATTGCTTGTACTGATTGATTGGTCATATACGGGGATCATAGTGCAAGCATAGCTTGGTACTGATTGGTAATATACGGGGATCATAGTGCAAGCATTGCTTGTACTGGTTGGTGATATACGGGGATCATAGTGCAATAAACTCTTTGGTAATATACGGGGATCATAGTGCAATAAACTCTTTGGTAATATACGGGGATCATAGTGCAATAAACTCTTTGGTAATATACGGGGATCATAGTGCAATAAACTCTTTGGTAATATATGGGGATCATAGTGCAATCAACTGATTGGTTATACCAATACACAGGGAAATTTTTCTTATTGCAATCATGATAGGTTACTTAGCTTGTAACTGATTGGTAATACACAGGGATATTTTTCTCATGACACTAATTGGTGACACCTCGTTTCTCTCACTGTAGCAATTGGTGCTACATAGTGGATTATCTCACCACAGTTATGGATTAAGCATAGTCCATCTTTTCATCTCATTAATGTGAAACATCTCACTACTTAAATTACAGCGATGATATAAACAAACTGGTGATACACGATGATATAAACAAACTGGTGATACACGATGATATAAACATATAGTGGTGATCTCATCTTGTACACCAATTGATTTTTATCTCAGCCTTCTAGAGCACAAGGTGCAAGCATGCCTAAATTGGTGATCGATAGCAGGGGTGGGGGGGGGGTACTGATAAAAGCTCCGGTAGGTGTCAGATTTGTATTAATAGGTTCGCCTGGGTATTCAATACTGGCTGAGCAGCTTGACATTTCCCATCAGCAAAGGAAATTGTCATGTGGTGTAGATAGCACACTACACGTGTGTTGATGGTAACACTTCACTGTATTCATGGTATAGCCTGCATAAGAATGTTCTATTCATCTTACTAAAGTCTAGGTGTGTGTTGTGCATATAGATTATACATGCTGTATCCATCTTACTAAGGTGTAGGTGTATGTTGTATATATGGATGTTGTATCCATCTTCCCAATGTGTAGGTGCATGTTGCACATATGGATGTTGTATCCACCTTCCCAATGTGTAGGTGTATGTTGTACATATGGATGTTGTATCCATCTTCCCAATGTATAGATGTATGTTGTACATATGGATGTTGTATCCATCTTCCCATCTCCCTCCTCTGGGAATAGCCTGTCCCGCAGGTGATAATTGTAATCATTAAATGCAACATCTCCAAGTGGCTCATAGAACGCTGTCAACACTTGCTGTCACGACAGCTATCTCGGCGTTTAGGTCCTCTTCAGCTATCTGTTGGCTTATGTTTTAATAGTTTTATGTCCTCTTCATCTATTGCGGCTCTCATCTGCTAGTGACTGTTGTTGAGTTTAGGTGAACCAAATGAGGTTTTAGTAGGGCTGGAGTTGTCTGTAGTATGCCCAGTTCTCTGTCTGTTAACACAGTATGCGTGAGTTAGAAAATGTCCGTCGTTTTTTAACACAGTATGCGTGAGTTAGAAAATGTCCGTTGTGGGGTTGTGGGAAGCTTAACTTTCTGTCTACAACATCACCACTGTGAACAGCACCACCTGCCGAGACCTGACACCCAGATCTGAATCTCACCTATTAGTTGGATGAGATACGGGGCTTCGTCCTGTCGTGTGTGTAAACAGTTGTCGTTGTTTGGGACCAAACCTCGCAGTGTTTTGTCGTTGAATAAGTTGGTCATTCTGTTGGTCAGTGCCATCGTGTTCTATAAGCGTGCATGACGTCATTTTCGTGTAAGATGGTGAAATAAACTGGTTTATTTATAGTAACAGCGTCACAATCGACCAAGACCTGATGTACGGGCTAGTCGTGACGTACTCACGGCCTGGGTGGTTTAGGCCTGATCTAGCTGGTCACGTGGGTCTGATCTAGCTGGTCACGTGGGTCTGGTGTAGCTGTTCACGTGACTCTGATCTAACTAACTGGCTGGTTGCGTGAGTTACAGTCACTCGGTCTTATTTCCCTAATCTGATGTGGTTACAGTTCTACTGTTAGTACCAGATGAGCCTCTGTATTTTATGTTGTCAAGACCTCCACACAGTGTTGTCTTGTCATGTGACACTTATGTAAGACAACACAATGTAGTATTATGTTAGACCCGCCGTGGGTTATTGTGACCTGTTCTAGCCCTGGCGCGTGGTCAAAGCCGCCATGAAACCAAGGAACCAACCGTCCTCCATTGTTTGTTGTCGTCTCACTACACGCTTCACCTTGACCTAGATTTCTTGAACTCAGGACTGTTTACAATTTGGTCTCCATGGGCGTCACCACACTGAGTGTGGATGGTTGGGGAGGATACTTTTGTCGTCAGCACTCTAGTTGGGGGGGGGGGGGAATATTTGATATCTGGTGCAGCGTTATGTTCCCCTGTATTGCAGGCTAGCAGGTATCCGCCTCACCTGTAATATCGCCTCGCCTGTAATCTCGCCTCACCTGTAATCTCGCCTCACCTGTAATCTCACCTTTATCGAGCTGGATTAGCAGGCACCAAAACGAGCGCAGCTTGCAGTGTAATGGCCCTCTGCTGGGTAATGGCCCCTTGCTGGCTTGTGTTACGTAACGGTTTGCAGAACTGACCTAATTAAAAAAGCAATACCGTGTTCGAACTGAAATTCAAATCCTGAAGTCTATACTTGTTATTGATCAGTACCAACCTTGGCATTGGGTGCGATCAAGCGTGACTTGTTCAATGGCGACTGGCTCACTTTTGTAAGGCGCTTACATTTAACCCAGTTAAAGCTGCAGGGTGTCTTTTAATACGTCCACTACACTATCAACAACACTTTATGTGGGGGGGGGTCATTCTTTCTCTAACCATTTGAAATAGTAGGGCTATGTACTGAGACCACGGAGTTCTATGTTTTTCATTTGACTACTAAAGCGACAGTGCAGGAACCAGAGCCTTGTTGCGGCAGCTCAGGGCTTAGAGCCCTCTTAGCGTCCTGGAGTTACCTGGGGGATAGGGGGTCTTGACAAAGCTGATATCTATCAGCAGGTGGTGGGTAGGGGGAGTCCTTGACCCACAAGCCCAATATCAACTTGCCAGATAAAATTTCTCTGCTTGCACTCACCTTTGCCTAGCGAAAACCAGTTTTGAAAAACTCGATGTTTTCACGGCTCGAAACGAGGCCAGAGTTCAGCTAAAAATAGATCTTAAGCAGTTGTTTTATTATTGACAACGTGTTATTCAGTAGTGCGGTTTTAAATCTAGGTCGTAATTTAGAAACGACACGGTGGTGTTGATGCACAACCTCAGCACATGATGTGATCATCATTAATGTGCTGATGTTATGTGATGTTTTTTGCCAGTCAGTAGACGGCATTGATCACTGAGTCATGCAGCGATTGATGACCTCATCCAGGGTAACAGCTGACCTACTGGCCAGAATGTATCATCTTCATGGGCGGCGTGTGTTCTCACACGGGGTAGTGTGCATTACCACACGGGGTAGTGTGCATTACCACACGGGGCAGTGTGCATTACCGCACGGGGCAGTGTGCATTACCACACGGGGCAGTGTGTGTTCCCACACAGGGTAGTGTGCATTACCACACGGGGCACACGGGGCAGTGTGCATTACCACACGGGGCAGTGCATTACCACACGGGGCAGTGTGTTCCCACAATGGGCAGTATGCATTATCACACGGGGCAGTATGCATTATCACACGGGGCAGTATGCATTACCACACGGGGCAGTGTGCGTTGCCACACGGGGCAGTATATGTTCCTACAGGGATTAGTATGCTTTTCCAAATGGGGTGGTGTGTTACCACACTAGACAATTTGTAATTCCAGACAGAACCATATTGTTTCCTCACAAAATCAGTGTTACCAGTTAGTAGCATATTGTTTTCTTACATCATGCTGTGTCCATTCCTAGTGCAGTGTGTATATCTGGAAAGTTTGATGAGAATTTGACAAGGTATAGCTTAGGATAGAGAACAGCACAGTTGGATGGTGGAACATATAACTTCTAACCCAAAAGTCTCATGTTCGAATCCCTGAGCCCACCCAGCTCTGATGGGTACCTCACCATAGGGGAAGTAAAGGAGGCTGAGCACAGTGTTAACTACTCTATTCTTTGATATTGATACAGGCCAACTCTACTTCACTTGCCACTTAACTTACAGCTAACAATTGAGTTGAATGATTCACTTACCTTACAACTAGTCCAGTCAGTATATAAACCAAGTTTTTTTTTTCTCTTGTCCAGTGTCCCCCCTGAGGTTACAGAGTGGTGAGCCCCGGTCAGCACCCCCAGGTATGATGAGGTCATTGAACCATGACCACACCCACGCCATCATCTACAGGGCAGACCTATTTCACCGGGTAAGTCTGTCTGTCTGTCTGCTCCCACTAGCCACATCCTAGCCTAAAGATTAGCCAGTTAACCTAACCTTTAACCTTTACTCCAATGATCCATGTTTTTTGTTTGGTAATGATGGCGATTGCTTGTTTCAGTTTAGTGTTGATTCTGATCGTATGGAGATAGAAGATTTAGGTGAGTAAATTGTAGAAACAAGCTTTAGTGTGATTCATTAAGGTTGTTCATATGGCTGGTTGACATGATTAGCTAGTATAGCCTTCAGCTAACTCAGCCAGTTGACCACAACCATGGTTGACAATGGGTTGGTACCTGCAGACAGGTAGAGTCCAACATCCATGTTGTTTGGGTTGGAAGCTGCCACAAGCGCCTACAGCATTGGCATGAGTTTGACACTAATACTGTCTAGCGTGCTGCTGATTTGATTTAAAAATGATCTCATAGAACTTGATGAAACTAATTTGAAGTGGAAATTGATTGGTCCAGGTGAACCTAATCAACTTGGACCAATGTTTTTGGGATGTGCATAGCTGTGGGTGTTGAGGTGCTAGATGTTTGCTGATTTGAGCAGCATGCAGGCATGCTCAGTAAGATTAGAGCATTGAAGGATTCAGCTGTAATGTGACCTTGCCATCAGGTCATCATGTGACCTTGCCATCAGGTCATCATGTGACCTTGCCATCAGGTCATCATGTGACCTTGCCATCAGGTCATCATGTGACCTTGCCATCAGGTCATCATGTGACCTTGCCATCAGGTCATCATGTGACCTTGCCATCAGGTCATCGTGTGACCTTGCCATCAGGTCATCGTGTGACCTTGCCATCAGGTCATCGTGTGACCTTGCCATCAGGTCATCGAGTGACCTTGCCATCAGGTCATCGAGTGACCTTGCCATCAGGTCATCGTGTGACCTTGCTAGCAGGTCATCGTGTGACCTTGCCAGCAGGTCATCCTGTGACCTAGCCAGCAGGTCATCCTGTGACCTTGCCAGCAGGTCATCCTGTGACCTTGCCAGCAGGTCATCCTGTGACCTTGCCAGCAGGTCATCCTGTGACCTTGCCAGCAGGTCATCCTGTGACTTTGCCAGCAGGTCATCCTGTGACCTTGCCAGCAGGTCATCCTGTGACCTTGCCAGCAGGTCATCCTGTGACCTTGCCAGCAGGTCATCCTGTGACCTTGCCAGCAGGTCATCCTGTGACCTTGCCAGCAGGTCATCCTGTGACCATCAGGTCATGTGACCTTACCCCTTACCGTCAGCAAGTAAGCTAGTAGGCCTGTGTGTGTGGACACAGTTTTATTCTATATCGAAATGACCTGAATGTTTGTATTTTATATCCAAATGACCTGAATGTATGTATTCTCCAGATGAAAATGAGGAGCAAGTGTACGCCAAGTTTATGAGGGCTCACAAATGCTACGACCTAATCCCTACCAGTGCCAAACTTGTGATATTTGATACAGAGTTGAATGTAAGTTGTGTGGGCTTGTACCTGTCTTGTGTGGGCTTGTACCTGTCTTGTGTGGGCTTGTACCTGTCTTGTGTGGGCTTGTACCTGTCTTGTGTGGGCTTGTACCTGTCTTGTGTGGGCTTGTACCTGTCTTGTGTGGGCTTGTACCTGTCTTGTGTGGGCTTGTGCCTGTCTTGTGTGGGCTTGTACCTGTCTTGTGTGGGCTTGTACCTGTCTTGTGTGGGCTTGTACCTGTCTTGTGTGGGCTTGTACCTGTCTTGTGTGGGCTTGTACCTGTCTTGTGTGGGCTTGTACCTGTCTTGTGTGGGCTTGTACCTGTCTTGTGTGGGCTTGTACCTGTCTTGTGTGGGCTTGTACCTGTCTTGTGGGCTTGTGCCTGTCTTGTGTGGGCTTGTGCCTGTCTTGTGTGGGCTTGTGCCTGTCTTGTGTGGGCTTGTACCTGTCTTGTGTGGGCTTGTACCTGTCTTGTGTGGGCTTGTACCTGTCTTGTGGGCTTGTACCTGTCTTGTGTGGGCTTGTACCTGTCTTGTGTGGGCTTGTGCCTGTCTTGTGTGGGCTTGTGCCTGCCTTGTGTGGGCTTGTACCTGTCTTGTGTGGGCTTGTCTAACTGTTGGTCTCACTGTCTTATCTGTCTTGTTACTGGACCCTGGTACATATGACCTCTAGTGTAGATGACAGTCCAGTGTCTTAAGTTTGTGGTAAACAAAAGCTATTTATGTGACCTACTTGAAGACACCAGGATGTGCAGTCAAGTAAAACAATAGGGCTGAGTACACAATCAAAGATTTCCACTTATATTGCTGGGTATTACCTTATTGCTGGGTGGACTGACCATTTAGAAACTTCACAAACCAATGTTTAACCACCTTGTAATGAACCTATTAAAGCTAACTCCACTAAATTACCTGTTGAAGGTAACCCACCATTTAATAAATCTAGTTCTGAGTGTCAAGTTTTAATTTCCCACAGGTGAAGAAAGCTTTTTTTGCTTTAGTCTACAACGGGGTGCGAGCAGCGCCTTTGTGGGACAGCAATAAACAGGACTATGTTGGTAAGTTGGTGATTCTCATTGTTGTATGGTGGTGCTTGTGGTTGTACGGTGGTGATTCTCTTGGTTGTTCAGTGGTGGTTGTATGGTTGTGGTTGTATGTTGTTGTTTCTCGTGGTTGTCTGGTGGTGCTTCTCAGTTGTCTGGTGGTGTTTCTCATAGCTTGAAGTCATCTTTTTGTTTAGTTCTGTGGCCTGTCTGATAGTTGTTGGCTGTTTGAATGTACACACTTGTTGTGTTGTAGTACTAGCAGTAAGAAATAGAGTGGAAAGTAAACAGGTTAGCTTTACATTGAGACGGGCAGTGTTGAGGGATGAACATGTTTACTTGCCAGTCAAGACAAAAATTTAACCGGATTTGTGTAAAAAATCAGTCAGCCAGTGAAAGTTGATAGGTCGGTCTGTGTGGTAATTTAATCTCTACCTGTATCTGCACACTGACACACCTGTAGGTTGTGTTACCTTACCTGTTTCCTAGGTGTGTAATACAGTACTCGTGACACACCTGTATGTTGTGTGTGTGTTACCTGTACCTCATCTGTTGTCTAGGTGTGTAAAACAGTACTGCTGACACACCTGTATGCTGTGTGTGTTACCTGTACCTTACCTGTTGTCTAGGTGTGTAATACAGTACTGCTGACACACCTGTATGCTGTGTGTTACCTGTACCTTACCTGTTGTCTAGGTGTGTAAAACAGTACTGCTGACACACCTGTATGTCGTGTGTGTTACCTGTACCTTACCTGTTTTTTAGGTGTTTAGTACACCTCATACACTTACTGAGACATTTCTCCCATTCAACATTATCAATTTTATTTTTTCAGGAATGCTGACGATAACAGATTTTATAAATATTTTAAAAATGTATTATAAATCTCCTGATGTGAGTACTCTGGTCTCTTTTCATATAATAGTATTTTACTGTATCACTAGTCATAGTAGTATTTTTACTACATCACTAGTCACAGAAATATTTGTACTGTATCACCAATATGGCTATGACCAAATGTTTGAGTGGAGTTGTGTGTAGAAGCCTTGTTTGTGTGTAATGAATGAACACCATTGTGTATAAGAACTAGCCTAGCTAAACCCATGCATCAGCCATATGATCTCCTTGCCTGTAATAACAAGAGTCCTATCTTCCACAGGTCAGGATGGATGAGTTAGAGGATCATAAAATTTCTAATTGGAGAGGTAGGTGCAGCATCATTCCTCTTGTGTAGTGGTCTGGTGCTCATAGCCAGGCTTGCAGCTTGTTAGCAGTAAAAACTGTGTGCCAGAACAAGTTAACTGAATGCCTTGCTAACCTTCTACTTCCTGCTTAACACAATGCCTGCCCTTGTTTACTATAGCCCCCAATGTTCCCTGCCCATGTAAAAGTCTGTTCCCTGCCCATGTTAAAGTCTGTTCCCTGCCCATGTTAAAGTCTGTTCCCTGCCCATGTTAAAGTCTGTTCCAAGCCTATGTAAAAGTCTGTTCCCTGCCCATGTTAAAGTCTGTTCCCTGCCCATGTTAACTAAATCCCCAATGTTCCCTGCCCATGTTAAAGTCTGTTCCCTGCCCATGTTAAAGTCTGTTCCCTGCCCATGTTAAAGTCTGCTCCCTGCCCATGTAAAAGTCTGTTCCCTGCCCATGTTAAAGTCTGTTCCCTGCCCATGTTAAAGTCTGTTCCCTGCCCATGTTAAAGTCTGTTCCCTGCCCATGTTAAAGTCTGTTCCCTGCCCATGTTAAAGTCTGTTCCCTGCCCATGTTAAAGTCTGTTCCCTGCCCATGTTAAAGTCTGTTCCCTGCCCATGTTAAAGTCTGTTCCCTGCCCATGTTAACTAAATCCCTAATGTTCCCTGCCCATGTTAAAGTCTGTTCCCTGCCCATGTTAAAGTCTGCTCCCTGCCCATGTAAAAGTCTATTCCCTGCCCATGTTAAAGTCTGCTCCCTGCCCATGTAAAAGTCTGTTCCCTGCCCATGTTAAAGTCTGTTCCCTGCCCATGTTAAAGTCTGTTCCCTGCCCATGTTAAAGTCTGTTCCCTGCCCATGTTAAAGTGTTCCCTGCCCATGTTAAAGTCTGTTCCCTGCCCATGTTAAACTCTGTTCCCTGCCCATGTTAAAGTCTGCTCCCTGCCCATGTAAAAGTGTTCCCTGCCCATGTTAAAGTCTGTTCCCTGCCCATGTTAAAGTCTGTTCCCTGCCCATGTTAAAGTCTGTTCCCTGCCCATGTTAAAGTCTGCTCCCTGCCCATGTTAAAGTCTGTTCCCTGCCCATGTTAAAGTCTGTTCCCTGCCCATGTTAAAGTCTGTTCCCTGCCCATGTTAAAGTCTGTTCCCTGCCCATGTTAAAGTCTGTTCCCTGCCCATGTTAAAGTCTGTTCCCTGCCCATGTTAAAGTCTGTTCCCTGCCCATGTTAAAGTCTGTTCCCTGCCCATGTTAAAGTCTGTTCCCTGCCCATGTTAAAGTCTGTTCCCTGCCCATGTTAAAGTCTGCTCCCTGCCCATGTTAAAGTCTGCTCCCTGCCCATGTTAAAGTCTGCTCCCTGCCCATGTTAAAGTCTGCTCCCTGCCCATGTAAAAGTCTGCTCCCTGCCCATGTAAAAGTCTGCTCCCTGCCCATGTTAAAGTCTGTTCCCTGCCCATGTTAAAGTCTGTTCCCTGCCCATGTTAAAGTCTGTTCCCTGCCCATGTTAAAGTCTGTTCCCTGCCCATGTTAAAGTCTGTTCCCTGCCCATGTTAAAGTCTGTTCCCTGCCCATGTTAAAGTCTGTTCCCTGCCCATGTTAAAGTCTGTTCCCTGCCCATGTTAAAGTCTGTTCCCTGCCCATGTTAAAGTCTGTTCCCTGCCCATGTTAAAGTCTGTTCCCTGCCCATGTTAAAGTCTGTTCCCTGCCCATGTTAAAGTCTGTTCCCTGCCCATGTTAAAGTCTGTTCCCTGCCCATGTTAAAGTCTGTTCCCTGCCCATGTTAAAGTCTGTTCCCTGCCCATGTTAAAGTCTGTTCCCTGCCCATGTTTAAGTCTGTTCCCTGCCCATGTTAAAGTCTGTTCCCTGTCACAGATGTGCTCAAGAAACAAGACCGACCGTTTGTCTCCATCAACCCCGACGCCAGCCTGTACGACGCCGTCAAGACATTATTAGAGAACAGAGTCCACCGCCTTCCTGTGGTGGATGAAAGTACTGGCAACGCCATCTACATCCTGACACACAAACGCATTCTGCGCTTCCTACACTTATATGTGAGTCCTCGGCTCAAATAGTTTTATTTGAAGTTTTCTATTCTAAGTTAGTAGACCTGATGCACTGACACAAGTTATTCAATATTAGATGACACAATTTATTCAATATTAGCGGAAACAGTTCATTCAATATTAGCTGACACAATTCATTCAATATTAGCTGACACAACTCAGCAATGTAAATGACATGTGACACAACACAAATGATAATGATGTGACATAACTGACACACGATGGGACAACACTGACATATTACTGACAACACTACTATGTGGTAATGCTGAAATTTGCTATTATGTCTACAGATTAAAGAACTACCCCAACCATCTTTCATGAAGAAGTCAATCAAAGAACTGGGAATAGGGACTTACAACAATGTCATTACAGTAAGTCTGTTGTTGGGGCATTGCTACTGTCCACCCGGTCTCACTGTCCACCTGGTCTCATTGTCCACCTGGTCTCACTGTCCATCTATCTAGTCTCACTGTCCACCTGGTCTCACTGTCCACCTGGTCTCACTGTCCACCTGGTCTCTCTGTCCACCTGGTCTCACTGTCCACTTGGTCTCACTGTCCATCTAGTCTCACTGTCCATCTAGTCTCACTGTCCATCTAGTCTCACTGTCCACTTGGTCTCACTGTCCACCTGGTCTCACTGTCCACCTGGTCTCACTGTCCACCTGGTCTCACTGTCCATCTAGTCTCACTGTCCACCTGGTCTCACTGTCCACCTGGTCTCACTGTCCATCTAGTCTCACTGTCCACTTGGTCTCACTGTCCACCTGGTCTCACTGTCCACCTGGTCTCACTGTCCACCTGGTCTCACTGTCCACCTGGTCTCACTGTCCACCTGGTCTCACTGTCCACCTGGTCTCACTGTCCAGCTAACCACCTAGATGATCAAAAGGGAGCCAATGAACCCTGCTATAATGTTGTAATGTACTCTAATGCTGTAATGCTGTAATGTTGCCAGTACTAAAGTGAAGCACTATGTTTTCAGGCCACTCCAGACACCCCCATCATCAAAGCCCTGTCCTTGTTTGTGGATCACAGAATATCAGCATTACCTGTAGTGGACAGCACAGGTCAGGTGTCCAACCTGTATGCCAAGTTTGATGTCATTGTGAGTACCTTCTCACATATCTCATAGCTTTTGTTTGTGGCTGGCTTACAAACGTGACCTACAATGATTTATTAGTTTGAAATTATTCAGTCCTTTGAAATTATTTACCAATTTTAAATTATTTAGTCATTTGATTTTAATCATTTTAAATTTAGTCATTTAAAGTCTACCAGTCATTTTTGGCTTAGTGGTGCCAGTTGGGTGGCCACGTGGTGTAGGTTGGGTGGCCATATGGTGTAGGTTGGGTGGCCACGTGGTGTAGGTTGGGTGGCCATGTGGTGTAGGTTGGGTAGCCATGTGGTGTAGGTTGGGTGGCCACGTGGTGTAGGTTGGGTGGCCACGTGGTGTAGGTTGGGTGGCCATATGGTGTAGGTTGGGTGGCCATGTGGTGTAGGTTGGGTAGCCATGTGGTGTAGGTTGGGTGGCCACGTGGTGTAGGTTGGGTGGCCATATGGTGTAGGTTGGGTGGCCATGTGGTGTAGGTTGGGTGGCCATGTGGTGTAGGTTGGGTGGCCACGTGGTGTAGGTTGGGTGGCCATGTGGTGTAGGTTGGGTGGCCATGTGGTGTAGGTTGGGTAGCCACGTGGTGTAGGTTGGGTAGCCATGTGGTGTAGGTTGGGTGGCCATATGGTGTAGGTTGGGTGGCCACGTGGTGTAGGTTGGGTGGCCATGTGGTGTAGGTTGGGTGGCCATGTGGTGTAGGTTGGGTGGCCACGTGGTGTAGGTTGGGTGGCCATGTGGTGTAGGTTGGGTGGCCATGTGGTGTAGGTTGGGTGGCCACGTGGTGTAGGTTGGGTGGCCATATGGTGTAGGTTGGGTGGCCATGTGGTGTAGGTTGGGTGGCCATGTGGTGTAGGTTGGGTGGCCACGTGGTGTAGGTTGGGTGGCCATGTGGTGTAGGTTGGGTGGCCACGTGGTGTAGGTTGGGTGGCCATGTGGTGTAGGTTGGGTGGCCATATGGTGTAGGTTGGGTGGCCACGTGGTGTAGGTTGGGTGGCCATGTGGTGTAGGTTGGGTAGCCATGTGGTGTAGGTTGGGTGGCCATGTGGTGTAGGTTGGGTGGCCACGTGGTTATCACTTGCTAGTTGATACCTGTAAGTTACTGATGTTTTTTATTCCAGAACTTGGCCGCTGATAAAAGCTACAACAACCTAGACATCACACTCAGTGAGGCACTGAAATATCGCCGTGGTGAAGATGTAAGCTGGTTCTATGTTATATATATATTAAACTTAATGTTCATATCAATGTTTTGTTCGTAACTATGTTAAGCTAAATGTTTGTAACAATGTTAAGCTAAATGTTTGTAACAATGTTAAGCTAAATGTTTGTAACAATGTTAAGCTAAATGTTTGTAACAATGTTAAGCTAAATGTTTGTAACAATGTTAAGCTGATGCAGGTTGTAGAACAGTTCTGAGAATAGCTTCTTGTGTACCACTAATACAGTTTTCAGAAAAATTTAATTCATATTTAAACTGAGGAACTTTTAAGCTGAGGACATCAGCAAACTGATAAATATGTGATGTGGTCTCTTCTTTGGCCGGTGCCAAAAGTTAAACATTGTAGGGTCTGTAGAAATTAAACTTTTTAATAATATAAAAGTACATTTTAAGTTACCTCCCCTGTGTAAGACTGTCTTACCTCCCCTGTGTAAGCCTGTCTTACCTCCCCTGTGTAAGCCTGTCTTACCTCCCCTGTGTAAGCCTGTCTTACCTCCCCTGTGTAAGCCTGTCTTACCTCCCCTGTGTAAGCCTGTCTTACCTCCATTGTGTAAGCCTGTCTTACCTCCATTGTGTAAGCCTGTCTTACCTCCATTGTGTAAGCCTGTCTTACCTCCCCTGTGTAAGCCTGTCTTACCTCCCCTGTGTAAGCCTGTCTTACCTCCATTGTTTAAACCTGTCTTACCTCCCCTGTGTAAGCATGTCTTACCTCCATTGTGTAAGCCTGTCTTACCTCCATTGTGTAAGCCTGTCTTACCTCCATTGTTTAAACCTGTCTTACCTCCCCTGTGTAAGCCTGTCTTACCTCCATTGTGTAAGCCTGTCTTACCTCCATTGTTTAAACCTGTCTTACCTCCCCTGTGTAAGCCTGTCTTACCTCCATTGTTTAAACCTGTCTTACCTCCCCTCTGTAAGCCTGTCTTACCTCCATTGTGTAAGCCTGTCTTACCTCCATTGTTTAACCTGTCTTACCTCTTATGTTACAGAATGAGAAAGTTTCCACTTGCCATCTGTGGGAGACACTGAGTAGTGTGATGGAGAAAATAGTCAAAGCTGAGGTAAGCTCTTACATTGGTTGGGGGGGGGGGGGGGGGCTAAGCTGACATTGTTGCCATTGGGGGGAGGGGAGGTGGGTATTTGAAGTTGTAAATAAAATGCTTTATTTTTTAATGAAAGCACTAAATGTTTAACCTCTGACCTGCAGGTGCACAGGCTGATAGTGACAGATGAAAGTGGAGGCGTTGAAGGCATTGTCTCCCTCTCTGATTTACTCAGATACATTATACTCAGACCTATGTGTAAGTACATTATACTCAGACCTATGTGTAAGTACATTATACTCAGACCTATGTGTAAGTACATTATACTCAGACCTATGTGTAAGTACATTATACTCAGACCTATGTGTAAGTACATTATACTCAGACCTATGTGTAAGTACATTATACTCAGACCTATGTGTAAGTACATTATACTCAGACCTATGTGTAAGTACATTATACTCAGACCTATGTGTAAGTACATTATACTCAGACCTATGTGTAAGTACATTATACTCAGACCTATGTGTAAGTACATTATACTCAGACCTGTGTGTAAGTACATTATACTCAGACCTGTGTGTAAGTACATTATACTCAGACCTATGTGTAAGTACATTATACTCAGACCTATGTGCAAGTACATTATACTCAGACCTATGTGCAAGTACATTATACTCAGACCTATGTGCAAGTACATTATACTCAGACCTATGTGCAAGTACATTATACTCAGACCTATGTGCAAGTACATTATACTCAGACCTATGTGCAAGTACATTATACTCAGACCTATGTGCAAGTACATTATACTCAGACCTATGTGCAAGTACATTATACTCAGACCTATGTGCAAGTACATTATACTCAGACCTATGTGCAAGTACATTATACTCAGACCTATGTGCAAGTACATTATACTCAGACCTATGTGCAAGTACATTATACTCAGACCTATGTGCAAGTACATTATACTCAGACCTATGTGCAAGTACATTATACTCAGACCTATGTGCAAGTACATTATACTCAGACCTATGTGCAAGTACATTATACTCAGACCTATGTGCAAGTACATTATACTCAGACCTATGTGTGAGTTTCTTTTCTATGTACTTAACTTTACCCCTGGTCTTTACCTGTCTGATCCACCTTACCTGTAGTCCTAACCTGATCCACTTTACTGATCCACCTTACCTGTAGTCCTTGTTGCGTCCGGGTTTCGTTAAACTCAGGAAACGATTCGTGTCTATCTTCAATACTTTTATTTGGACTCATTTCTTCACATTCTAGAGTAGCCAGCGCCCTAACAACTAACCCCTTACAATCATTCACTCCAGCTTTTATTCGGCATTCGACTTTGGGATAACAATACATAAACACACCGGGGTCAACTACACACAAGGGTAAACTCAATTCACACATGCACTCTCCCCTAATTCTAGATTATTCTAACCTATTTCTATCTAACCTACAACTGACCCGTAACAGTCCTAACCTGATCCACCTTACTGATCCACCTTACTGATCCACCTTACCTGTAGTCCTTACTTGATCCACGTTAATACTATTTTAATTCACACCCCCCCCCCCCTCTACCAGCAGCTGAAGGAGCCAAACAACCCGCCCCCACTCTAGAAACAGACTCTCTGAACATGGAGACCCCGCCCATATCTTCCTGATAGAAGATTCTCCCAGAGTTTGATGAAGGCACACAAGACTTGATGGGATCACTGGGCATTGGAGTCAGGCTAAATGGCACAGATTTATTTTTGGTCCTCTGACAGCGGGGGCTGCAAGCGGATTGGATGGATGGATGGATGTGGGGTGTTTGTACTAATATGCAATGCACATGGAATACTAATCTTTTTGGTCAGGTAGTGGCCAGATGTTAGCTGACACTAACATTGTTGCTGTGACAGCGCTCTGCTAGCCAGTTTTTCAATAGTTTGAGAGAACTTGCTAGCCAGAGTTTATCAACATTGTGACAGCACTCTGCTAGCCAGAGTTTTTCAATAGTTTGAGAGAACTTGCTAGCCAGAGTTTTTATCTCATTCTCATTCGGTTCATCTGGAATTATTTTTTTTATTTACTGTTGGCTAGGGGAGGCAACTCCAGTGATATTGAAACTCTTCATAAGAGATACTTCAGTAGAAAGAATTTGTCATGGACTGTATGTAACAATTGCAAGGAATGTCGGTAATTTCCAAAAGATATATTTTTATTTCCGCAATAATTAAAAGAAAGTTGTAGTTGTTGGATTCATGGACTGTAAATGTTGAGTAATGATGTGCACAAGAGCATGTTGCAGGAACTTTTGTACATAATTTTTGTCTAGTGGTAGAATTGTTGCCATGTTGACTGTTTTTTTCTGTCATTTTGTTGAAATAGTTGGACAAATGTTGAGCTGTGACTGACTAGTTTGTTTACTCTTTATTTTTCATGGGTCTCTAGTTTTGTGACAGAAAAAAAAAATTAATAAATATTCTGGATCTAGCTATTAAAGATTTGTCATTTTTACTAGCTTATATTTTATGTCTGTATCTGTAAGGATTGTTTGAATGGTCAAGTTGGTAGATCAACCAGCTTAGTAAAATGTTTCAACATTCAGAAATGTCAGGAATTTTATGCTATTTGATATAAGGGAGATAACACCCAAGCTAAATTACTTCTTTGATTAAAGTAGCTAAAAAAACACATATAGAAACAATCCTGTCTTATAGAGTTTGTTCATTTCTGCATTCAAAACATCTCCATGAGGGACTTAAAATTTAGATCTTTGCCAAAATTATTTGTAACCACATTGATGGACTGAGTAGCCAAGACAGAATATATTTATAGTCAACCACTCAATGTACTTCATTTTTACTTCATTATTTTGATTTTTTTTTATTAATTGCCACTACTGTTCTAAAAATTGAATTCAAGAACTTAAAGTGCATTAGGAGCAGATCTTTGAAACACATGAATGAAGTATCAGGAAAAAATACAAAATTTTTTTTAGGCCTTAAAGTCTACCAGGAGTGTTTCCTGTTCTGTGTTCCAAAAAACTTTTAGTTGGTCTTTAGGGTCTTCTCAAACAGGCAGCTTACCTGTGGTAAACTCTAATGGTGGTGTTATAAAATAACATTAGTTGCAAATTGCTGACCCATTATGCCAATTAATTTTTCCATTAAACAATAACAATGTTATCACATCTCACAAAATTTAATTACTTCTTACTTGTAAGATCTTTGTTTTATGGTATAAAAGTGTTGATAAAATGTAACAAATTGAATTATTGGAAAATTGCATGAGGTTAAGTATGAAGTTTAAAAAAAATGAAAATCAGAAAATGGTTACATAGAATAAGTACAATTTATTTCCTTAAAGCAAAACATAGCTGGTGTAACAAATACTGAAAATCTTGGAAAGTAACAAGTTTCTTCTACAAGACTTGACGAGATAACATCTTGACCTAAATTCTACTTAACGGCACAGAAGCCCACAGAACACAATGATTCCAGAAGCCATTGCATCAGAAAACAATGATTCAAAAATCTATTTCAGAATTCACAGCAATAGAAAACTATTCAAGAAATCATTGCATCAAAAGACAATGATTCAAGAAATCATTGCATCAAAATACAATGATTCAAGAAATCATAGCATCAAAAGACAATGATTCAAGAAATCATTGCATTAAAAAACAATGATTCAAAAAATCATTGCATTGAAAAACAATGATTCAAGAAATCATTGCATCAAAAACCAATTCATCAGACATGTACAAACTAAGTTGAATTCTCGGATAACTTGAGTGCAAGCAACCAGGCACATGTTAAGGCATTATCTCTAAGAATGTGCTTTCTCTGTCAGGGTTATGATCCAAATTTTCTTGGTACAAAAATTACTAAATTCAAACATTGAAATAAATATGATCAGGTTTTTGTATAATATTTACAATTGGCCTATTCACAGAATTCTCACAACCGTAATATTAGTGACCTCAGCATTTAACTACAGAGCCTTCGTATAGAAAATAAATGCAACTAATGCTGCCTCGTTTGTAGAGAGCCATGGACATCATCCAAACACGACTCAAAGCCAAACATTAGAGTTGGATGCAGACTTCTTAATCTATTATAGACAGCATTATCTAAGTGGTTGCAGACCTTTTCGTGCATGGCAAAAGTAACATTCACCCTGTATTATAAAAATACATACATCTTAAAATCAATATTTAAAATCTTGCATGAATGTTAATTGATTAGCATGTTAATTAAGTCTTTAATCCTATGGTTCTCACAAATCTACCCCATTCAATTCCTGGTTCCCATTGTTCAGTTTATGACTGTCTGGAGCATCGTGACCTACAGTGAACTTGGACAGAAGGCTGGACTGGCGCCTGGGTGGGTCAGGTTTGGGCTTGCTGATGGCCCTGATGTTGACCGAGGACGACCTGACCACAGAGATGACGCTCTGCTGAGAGCCCATGGAGGTGCCGGAGCTGCTGCTGTTGCTATCGCTGCTGCTTCCCCGCTCCTCCCTCTCCAGGGGGATGGTGACACAGGGAGGGGGAGGGATATCATCACTTGGTTTGGTACAGCTCGCTAGGTTCATCATCTGCTGCGCTGTGTTGTTCTGACCCTGCAGGTCCGGCCTGTTCATGTTGGCACAGATCCCAGAGGCAATGTCTTTCTCAAACCTGGACAGCGGCTTCTGAGATGCTGGCTTGGGTGTGGATGATAAGGGCCCCCCAGAGAGGCGGTGCTGACCCAAGATTCCCCCAACAAATCGAGGCATGTCACTGGCCTGGGTTGAGCTGATAGAACTAATGCCACTGGTGGACGTTGGTCGGCTGCCTTTTCTGGGAGGGGGAGGTGGTGGGACTTTCTTCTTCCCCAACTCTTGCTGTGAGCTGATGGAGTCTGAAGAATCAAACGAAAGAGATTTGTTTTCAGGAACCAGGCGCGGGATGCCTCGGCTTGGAGAGGTCAGCGGAGAGGGTGATGTTTTGGCTGGGGAGAAGATGATCTCTCGCGGAGGTGAGATGGTGAAAGTTCCAGGACTAGTGGGAGACTTGGGGCTGGCGGTGCCAGACAGAACCAGGTTAATGGTTGGGCCAGAGGACACCTTCCCCACCAGTCCTGTTGGGCTGACCACTGGGCCAGGGTCAAGGCTGGCGGAGTTCCTGCTGGGAGAGTTCATGTTGGGGGAGGTGGGGGGAGAGTTCATGGAGCTGAAGAAAGCGTTTCTGGCAGCTTGTTTCTGTGTGGCCAGATCTGCGGCCCCCGTGCCATTGACGGGTGAATCCATGCTGGGGATGATGGTGGGGGATAACTCTGAGAAGGACACTGAAGCTTTCTTGTTCTCAGACTTGGCTGTCCCATCAGAGTTGTCTGTTAGTTTCTCCTCCCCGTCAGCTGGCTTGTTGCTGGCGTTGTTTGGTTTGAACACAGGTGGGACAGGTATGACTGGGTTCACTGGCCCACACACCTGGTACGTGTAGATGCTGGGGTCAGTTTTCTTGGGGCTGTCTCCAACGGAACATTTCCTGGTGTCTGACTTCATCAAGATGCCTCTGGTGGTGTCGGTCAGGGGCAGGGTCATTGTTTTCATGATGGAGGGGACCGGCGTGGTTTCAGTAGTGGACCTGGTGGCCGTGGTGGTCACTGAGTCAGACACCCCTGACGTCATGGCCGAGACCGTTGCTGTAGGTTTGTCTGCGGGTTTTACACCAGATGACAGGACAGAGAAGGAGGGTTTGACAGATGCCACATTAGAAGCAGGAGCTGTGGATACAGCTGTGGTCAGCCCACTTGAAGCTGGGGGCAGGACAGACTTGGCTGTGTGGGCTGGTTTAGCTGGAGCAGCGAGGTTGTGGTTGTCTGGCTGTTGTTCCTTGTTCTCCTCTTCAGCTGGACCCTGGTCAGATATTTTATCACCAGTGACTGAAGGTGGACGCAGGTTTTTGGTGGCCATCTCTAGAGTTTTGCCAAACTTGAGGGCCTCTTGTTGAGTGCTGATCTTTTTCTTCCTTTCTCGAGAGGCCTCTGCAGCCTGTAAAGGGTTGAATTAAAGAATTACTGCTCATCTCTGAATAAAGACTGAAGACAAACTAAACATCTTAGTAACAATGATCACTCAAATAAGTTTACACATATTTGATTTTTACCATTCAAAGTTCAACTATGTAAAGTTACAATCCTTGTGGCAAAGAATTTATTATTCTAATTTGTACCTTCCCTAAAATGGAACATTTTCTGAGCTTTAAACTATTTCAGGTAACTTGTTTCAACAATTAACCTACATTCCCCGTGAGTAGGCACAAGTGCCCTGTTTGATATCTAAAATGTCCAACTTATTCAAAGAACTTATCTATATACTTCATGATATACTGCACAAGTGCCCTGTTGTTTAATGTCTCCTGTGAAACTTGTTCCATAACCTGACCTACATACCTCAATTTGCTGCAAGCGTTGTTCATGATCAGGCACAAGTGAGCGGATGTTTTCAAGTAAAATATTTTTCTGCTCCGTCACCTCCTCGCTGGCTAGAGGCGCCATGTTTGGCACTTGGGATGGTCTGTGATCTTGTACAGATGCTAGCCTAAACACATCAATCATAGCACAGTGGTAAAAACTTGAAACAATTTCAAGTCAACAATAAGACAAAATTGTTTCATGATTTGACCTCCTTTATAGTTATTTATAAAAACTTCAAACATAAACAATTTATAAAAAATATATCCCTTATTTAAACAACATATATTGTTATGAGTTGGACAAACAGACTAACATAATGTCATGAACAAACAGAGAGACCAACATAATGTCATGAACAAACAAACAAACCAACATAATGTCATGAACAAACAAACCAACATAATGTCATGAGAAAAACAAACCAACATAATGTCATGAACAAACAGAGAGACCAACATAATGTCATGAGAAAAACAAACCAACATAATGTCATGAACAAACAGAGAGACCAACATAATGTCATGAACAAACAAACAAACCAACATAATGTCATGAGAAAAACAAACCAACATAATGTCATGAGAAAAACAAACCAACATAATGTCATGAACAAACAGAGAGACCAAGATAATGTCATGAGACAAACAGACCAACATAATGTCATGAACAAACAAACAAACCAACATAATGTCATGAGAAAAACAAACCAACATAATGTCATGAACAAACAGAGAGACCAACATAATGTCATGAGACAAACAAACAAACCAACATAATGTCATGAGAAAAACAAACCAACATAATGTCATGAACAAACAGAGAGACCAACATAATGTCATGAACAAACAAACAAACCAACATAATGTCATGAACAAACAAACAAACCAACATAATGTCATGAGACAAACAGACCAACATAATGTCATGAGACAAACAAACAAACCAACATAATGTCATGAACAAACAGAGAGACCAACATGTCATGAGACAAACAAACAAACCAACATAATGTCATGAGAAAAACAGACCAACATAATGTCATGAACAAACAAACAAACCAACATAATGTCATGAGACAAACAAACAAACCAACATAATGTCATGAGACAAACAGACCAACATAATGTCATGAACAAACAAACAGACCAACATAATGTCATGAACAAACAAACAGACCAACATAATGTCATGAACAAACAAACAGACCAACATAATGTCATGAGCAAACAGACCAACATAATGTCATGAACAAAGAGACCAACATATTGTCATGAGTTGGACAAGAAACAAGTCCCCACCTCTTGAGAGTGTAGAGGGTACCAGTCAGCTTCTTACATCTCTTCAAACACTGCTCTATCTCTGACGGCTCTTCTTTCAAAAATCTGTTGGGTTTTTTATTAGGGTTTGTTATTATTTATATCAGATACAGGAAAAGGTTTAATAAATTTGTTTTTTTAAGATGAACACATTCAAATTACATTGATATATTTTTTCAATATTTGAGAGCTTACATAGTTTAAATTTGAAATTTAAAAAGAACTAACTTTTCTTCAGCAAGAACTACTCTCATCTCTGCATCAATAATACTTTTAAGCTGTGACTGAATTTCTGGGAATCGAGCTGAAAGCAAAATTCACTTTTGAATTATGACAAGCATCAAACTTTATCCATGACAATCTATTAACTGATTTTTTTAAATTATGAGTTGAAATCATTTAAAATAAATTTTTTCCCCCACCTTTGAGGTCTGCCAGTGATTTGGTGATGTTGCTCAGTAGCAGTGCCATACCCTCGACATCAGAGGCATTGACACGACACTGTCGCGACAAGACGTCAGCCCTCAGTTCCTCCACGCTGGCTTCTAAATCTCTGTCATTAGAAAAGTTACATGTTCATTTTATAAGGGCTTCTAAATCTCTATAATTAGAAAACAGTTACATGTTCATTTTATAAGGGCTTCTAAATCTCTACATTAGAAAACAGTTACATGTTAATTTTATAAGGGCTTCTAAATCTCTGTCATTAGAAAAGTTAGATGTTCATTTTACAAGGGCTTCTAAATCTCTATAATTAGAAAACAGTTACATGTTCATTTTATAAGGGCTTCTAAATCTCTACATTAGAAAACAGTTACATGTTAATTTTATAAGGGCTTCTAAATCTCTGTCATTAGAAAAGTTACTTGTTCATTTTATAAGGGCTTCTACATCTCTGTCATTAGAAAAGTTACATGTTCATTTTATAAGGGCTTCTAAATCTCTATCATTAGAAAAGTTACATGTTCATTTTATAAGGGCTTCTAAATCTCTATCATTAGAAAAGTTACATGTTCATTTTATAAGGGCTTCTAAATCTCTATCATTAGAAAAGTTACATGTTCATTTTATAAGAGCTTCTAAATCTCTATCATTAGAAAACAGTCAAATGTTAATAGACCTTTAGAGTAAGCAAACACATTTGCTATATTAAGCTAAGAAATAAACACTGCACACATGTTCTGGGTGAGAGGGTTGAGATTTTACCTTATAAACACTGCACACATGTTCTGGGTGAGAGGGTTGAGATTTTTACCTTAACTCTTTGTGGACCTGCTCTTTATCATTTTTATAAGAATATTTGGCCACGGTGACTTCATTTCTTTTGTTAAAGTTCACCTGGTTTTCTGCCTCAGGTACTGCTGATAACACCTTCTAGAAATAAATAAGTTTTTTGTCAAATGCTTCTGAAAATTGATATACACTTTCTGGTAAGAATATTTTATCAAGCATCTCTAAACATAGGTTAAAACCTTCTGGGAATAACATTTTTATCAAACATTTCAACTAACCAGAATAAATTCTATGATTGGTGTTATATCAAACTTCAGAACAAAAAGCAGCCATGAACTCACCTTGACCTTGCTAAGTGTGACCATGAACTCTTCTCTCATGGCCTCCATGTTCAGCTGTTGCTGTCTTCGAAGTACATGGAGGTCAGATTTGAGCTGGCCGAGCTTGACGGTCACTTCTGCTTGAGCACTTAGAGGAGTTGACTCCCTTGAGCTGACCCCTGATGAGCCTTGAAATCCATCAGGAATATCCGAAAGACCTAAAAAAATTATTTGATTTATTTTGGTTTTATCTCTCCTAATGTGGAGCATCATTATAAAAAACCATAAATCAACATACAAAAATTCTATACACTAAAGCAGTTTAAAAAAAACCTGTGCCACACCAAATGAGCTAACATAAATGTACATAACTGATCAAACAGTCGAGGAGGTAGATAAATATTTAGTTTTAAAAATTTTAAAAGAAAAATGCGAAAAGAAAATAAGCTATGAAATATTAAAATATATATTATAGATGTACATTAGTTAATGATTACAAATATAGCAGGTGTTGATTTAAAAAAACCACTTCAATGATTCATTTACAAAAGAGCTTTGAAATTTGTAAGCAGGGTTTAAGCAGGATTTAATTACAAAATGTATACTTCATTGTTTTAGTGTACAATTGTTTATACAAAATTGTAAAGCAAAATAATTTATTGCAATCAAAGCATTATAAACTCTAATTACTATGCAATGGTGATGACTGTTAACTAATTATCACTTAATGTAATGAGATCTTTTATCAGGTTAGAAAAATATTGTTTTAATATTTTCTTTAATTGTTTAATTTTTAAATAAAAATCTTGGATAATACACATGAGATTTTATATTTTAAAATTTCATTATCATAATTCTGTAAATACTTTTACAATTTTTTAAATTTATAAAGACCTTATATTATTCCAAAATAAAACCCTGTTCAAAATTGTATTTAAAGCAGAATAAAATATACAACTAAAAATAAAAGGGAAATAAATCATGCAGAAATGCCATCCATACATAAACCAAAGCATGCAACAACATCCATTAACAAGAAAAGTTCATAGATAAAACTCAAGACCTTGTAATCGTGCTACATGATTAGTTGGAGTAGTCGAAATGGGAGGAGCTTCTCCTTTGTGCTCTGAAAAGGGTTAAATAAAAATCAAACAGGAATTCTTCCAGCCACTGAACTAACCTCAAATTATGTTACGTTATGTTTGCCTGTCATCCCTACTGGCTTCATAATGTATGAAATAAATCATTTTTGTTGTTTTGTTTTCTTCCCAAAAACTTATTGTAAGTAAAAGCTTGAGCAAAAAAGTTTAAAAATAGTGGCTTGCTTGAACCAATTACAGTACTGGTTTTATTCAATACCAACTTGTGGTGGCTTTTTCTTTTTAATTTTTAATTTGATATCTTAATTATGATTTAATTTGTCTCTCTTCATTTACGAATTTCTAGCATTTTTCTCAACACAAAAACTTTAAAAACAGCAATAAGTTTTGTTTGTTTTAAGATTAGCAAGTCAAAAGAACTATGAGGGAGGTAATGGCATGCGAGGATCATCAATAAAATAGACCTGCATTATTACAATTTTTATCTCTTATTAACAATTAAGTAGCATGTAATAATACAAATCAATTAATATTCAGAATTTTTTTTCCCTCATCAATTAAAAGTCAATCTTGGGCCCAAGTTAGACGTAGCTTTTACATACAAATACAATTTTTTCCTGACTTGTTTAAAGCTATGAGTTCCTTCAAATATTAAAGTTTTGAAACAACTTTATATTATCTTTTCAACCAATTCTTGTGAACAATTAAAATTTTCTGTCAAACAACTATTTTAAAAGTTTTGGTTCTATAATATGTTTCTCAAGTTTCTAATCTAGAATGAACAACTTGGCTGCAAGACTTGTGGATGGGTACAATCACATGCAACATTTCAATAAATTGATCAGACATTTTCAATCCATTTTCACCACATCATCATCAAGTTAGGGTGTATTTTTTGCAAGCTCATTAAAATAGAATTTAAAAGTAGCTAATCTATGATTAAGAAGTCAGCAGCCTTAAATGGATTAGAAAGCCGTTGTGTTAAACGAATTAGTCCGGGTTGACTTACTACTTGCAGAAGATGCGGGGAAGGTGTCAGAACTGTCTGAGATGCTACCAGCACTGGGCGGGGCTCTGCTACCATCTGACTTCTGGTAGTGGACCCATGCGGTCAAGGTGGCCAGCTGCTGCTCCATCTTCTCTATACGGTTCCTGCTCCACCAGAGAGAGAGAGGGGGGGGGGGGGGACTTTTATTCTCAATGTAACATGGTGGGGGGGGGACTTTTTTTCTCAATGTAATATGGGGGGGGGAGGACTTTTATTCTCAATGTAACATGGGGGGGGGGGGGGGGAAGGACTTTTATTCTCAATGTAACATGGGGGGGGGGAGGACTTTTATTCTCAATGTAACATGGGGGGGGGGAGGACTTTTATTCTCAATGTAACATGGTGGGGGGGGGGGGACTTTTATTCTCAATGTAACATGGTGGGGGGAGGACTTTTATTCTTAATGTAACATGGGGGGAGGAGGACTTTTATTCTCAATGTAACATGGGGGGGGGGAGGACTTTTATTCTCAATGTAACATGGTGGGGGGAGGACTTTTATTCTCAATGTAACATGGGGGGAGGAGGACTTTTATTCTCAATGTAACATGGGGGGGGGGGAGGACTTTTATTCTCAATGTAACATGGTGGGGGGAGGACTTTTATTCTCAATGTAACATGGGGGGAGGAGGACTTTTATTCTCAATGTAACATGGGGGGGGGGAGGACTTTTATTCTCAATGTAACATGGGGGAGGACTTTTATTCTCAATGTAACATATGGGGGGGGGGGAATTTTATTTTCAATGTAACATGTCAGTGCACATGTTACTATATATAACAGTGCACCTGTAACTTTAAGGGACAGTGCACCCATGATTATACTGAGCAGTGCACCTATAAAAGGGACAGTGCACTTATGACTAAATGTGTGCACTACTAGGCCTGCCATCAAAAAATGTTTGTGGTGGGGGCTGATTGAAGGTTAGTGTCAAGTTAGTTGCCATGGCGATGGGAGTGTGTATTAGCACCTACGATGGTGTATCTTAAAATATCACTTCTGTGTGGTGTGTATATAAGGTTATTAGTCTCATACAAAAATGTCACTGACTTTACATATCTAAAAAGGCTATTGACATGATACAAAAATGTCATTGACTGTACTAATAAAAATATGATTGCCCATCTAGATGAAAATATTATTGATGGTCTATATAAAATGTCATAAATGGCCATATAAAAATGTCATATGAAATTCCATATAAAAATGTCACTTAGTGCCCATATAAAAATGTCATTTAGTGCCCATATAAAAATGTCATTTAGTCCCCATATAAAAATGTCACTTAGTGCCCATATAAAAATGTCATTTAGTGCCCATATAAAAATGTCATTTAGTCCCCATATAAAAATGTCACTGATTGTCCATATAAAAATGTCATTTAGTGCCATATAAAAATGTCATTGAGTGCCCATATAAAAATGTCACTGAGTGCCCATATAAAAATGTCATTTACCTTGTAGTGTCATCAGCTGGGGTGACAGACTGTGACCTAACCAGGTCTGTGGCACCTCTCTCTGGGGGAGGGATCCTATAGCTCTGGGTGCGCTGATAGCCACCGTCTGGCGCCGCACCAGAAATTGGTGCGAATGCCAGCGAGTGTCTGTTGTGGCCTCCTGGTTAGCATAAAAATGTTGGAACAAGGTGCAAATGATAAAAGGAAAACTAAAAACATTGTAAACATTGCAAGCTCTCACACTGGAAATGAATGAAAAATGCAAAGAAATACAATGGCCATTGATGTGAAAAATGCTGAATGAACACAATATTTGCAGAAGTAAATGCAACAAAATACATCCTAAGTATGAAGAAAACAAGCAACATTTGAAAGGAAGCATTACAACATATTAGCAAACACACTGTTAGAACATTTTTCTCAGCAGTGATAGATTTGTTAGCAAAACATTTTGTACTTACTTGTATCAGAGCCCGGTGCTACCGCACGCTGTGGGTGGGCCATGGGAGGTGCACGGGTGCTACGAGCCACGTATGTCTGTTGGGTGGGGATGGGGGACTGCGAGTGGTACGGGGACTCGTAGATCCCATTAGGGTAGGGGGAGCGGTAGCCTGGAGCACCCACAGGTTCGTAGTAGTTGCCAGGGTCCTGATAGGCCTGGGACAGCTGTCTGTTCTCTGGGATGGGGTTCAGCTGTCCACGCTCTGGTGTTGGCATACGGTCAGGGGAATGTGAATATCTGAAGAGATAAGTGGCATACGGTCAGGGGAATGTGAATATCTGGAGAGATAATTGGCATACAGTCAGGGGAATGTGAATATCTGAAGAGATAAGTGGCATATGGTCAGGGGTATGTGAATATCTGAAGAGATAAGTGGCATATGGTCGGGGTATGTGAATATCTGAAGAGATAAGTGGCATATAGGGGAATGTGAATATCTGAAGAGATAATTGGCATATAGGAGAATGTGAATATCTGAAGAGATAATTGGCATACAGTCAGGGGAATGTGAATATCTGAAGAGATAAGTGGCATACGGTCAGGGGAATGTGAATATCTGGAGAGATAATTGGCATACAGTCAGGGGAATGTGAATATCTGAAGAGATAAGTGGCATATGGTCGGGGTATGTGAATATCTGAAGAGATAAGTGGCATATAGGGGAATGTGAATATCTGAAGAGATAATTGGCATATAGGAGAATGTGAATATCTGAAGAGATAATTGGCATACAGTCAGGGGAATGTGAATATCTGAAGAGATAATTGACATACAGGGGAATGTGAATATCTGAAGAGATAATTGGCATACAGGGGAATGTGAATATCTGAAGAGATAATTGGCATACAGGGGAATGTGAATATCTGAAGAGATAATTTCACTTATCTAGTAACTTCCTAAGTAAAAAACACTAACTTTTTCTTTTATTTCGTCAAAATATTATGACTTTCAACAGAACATGGAAAATATAAAAAATGTCTATATATGTGTGATGAATCATGCTAATTAACACATATTAAAAAACCTTTGCCTATTAGGTGCTCCAGCAGACAGTGACCTTGGCCTATCAGCAACCTCAGGGGTTCTTGACCTTGACCTTCTCTCTATCTCCCATTGGTTCCTTTGTTCCTGCATCAAATCGTGGTAGTTGTTGGCAGTTTGTGGGGGCAGGGAGTGAGACTTGATGAACTGAAACACAGACAATAGTTGTTGGCAGTTTGTGGGGGCAGGGAGTGAGACTTGATGAACTGAAACACAGACAACAGTTGTTGGCAGTTTGTGGGGGCAGGGAGTGAGACTTGATGAACTGAAACACAGACAATAGTTGTTGGCAGTTTGTGGGGGCAGGGAGTGAGACTTGATGAACTGAAACACAGACAATAGTTGTTGGCAGTTTGTGGGGGCAGGGAGTGAGACTTGATGAACTGAAACACAGACAACAGTTGTTGGCAGTTTGTGGGGGCAGGGAGTGAGACTTGATGAACTGAAACACAGACAATAGTTGTTGGCAGTTTGTGGGGGCAGGGAGTGAGACTTGATGAACTGAAACACAGACAATAGTTGTTGGCAGTTTGTGGGGGCAGGGAGTGAGACTTGATGAACTGAAACACAGACAATAGTTGTTGGCAGTTTGTGGGGGCAGGGAGTGAGACTTGATGAACTGAAACACAGACAATAATTGTTGGCAGTTTGTGGGGGCAGGGAGTGAGACTTGATGAACTGAAACACAGACAATAGTTGTTGGCAGTTTGTGGGGGCAGGGAGTGAGACTTGATGAACTGAAACACAGACAATAGTTGTTGGCAGTTTGTGGGGGCAGGGAGTGAGACTTGATGAACTGAAACACAGACAACAGTTGTTGGCAGTTTGTGGGGGCAGGGAGTGAGACTTGATGAACTGAAACACAGACAATAGTTGTTGGCAGTTTGTGGGGGCAGGGAGTGAGACTTGATGAACTGAAACACAGACAATAGTTGTTGGCAGTTTGTGGGGGCAGGGAGTGAGACTTGATGAACTGAAACACAGACAATAATTGTTGGCAGTTTGTGGGGGCAGGGAGTGAGACTTGATGAACTGAAACACAGACAACAGTTGTTGGCAGTTTGTGGGGGCAGGGAGTGAGACTTGATGAACTGAAACACAGACAACAGTTGTTGGCAGTTTGTGGGGGCAGGGAGTGAGACTTGATGAACTGAAACACAGACAATAGTTGTTGGCAGTTTGTGGGGGCAGGGAGTGAGACTTGATGAACTGAAACACAGACAATAGTTGTTGGCAGTTTGTGGGGGCAGGGAGTGAGACTTGATGAACTGAAACACAGACAATAGTTGTTGGCAGTTTGTGGGGGCAGGGAGTGAGACTTGATGAACTGAAACACAGACAACAGTTGTTGGCAGTTTGTGGGGGCAGGGAGTGAGACTTGATGAACTGAAACACAGACAATAGTTGTTGGCAGTTTGTGGGGGCAGGGAGTGAGACTTGATGAACTGAAACACAGACAATAGTTGTTGGCAGTTTGTGGGGGCAGGGAGTGAGACTTGATGAACTGAAACACAGACAATAGTTGTTGGCAGTTTGTGGGGGCAGGGAGTGAGACTTGATGAACTGAAACACAGACAATAGTTGTTGGCAGTTTGTGGGGGCAGGGAGTGAGACTTGATGAACTGAAACACAGACAATAGTTGTTGGCAGTTTGTGGGGGCAGGGAGTGAGACTTGATGAACTGAAACACAGACAATAGTTGTTGGCAGTTTGTGGGGGCAGGGAGTGAGACTTGATGAACTGAAACACAGACAACAGTTGTTGGCAGTTTGTGGGGGCAGGGAGTGAGACTTGATGAACTGAAACACAGACAATAGTTGTTGGCAGTTTGTGGGGGCAGGGAGTGAGACTTGATGAACTGAAACACAGACAACAGTTGTTGGCAGTTTGTGGGGGCAGGGAGTGAGACTTGATGAACTGAAACACAGACAATAGTTGTTGGCAGTTTGTGGGGGCAGGGAGTGAGACTTGATGAACTGAAACACAGACAATAGTTGTTGGCAGTTTGTGGGGGCAGGGAGTGAGACTTGATGAACTGAAACACAGACAATAGTTGTTGGCAGTTTGTGGGGGCAGGGAGTGAGATTTGATGAACTGAAACACAGACAATAGTTGTTGGCAGTTTGTGGGGGCAGGGAGTGAGATTTGATGAACTGAAACACAGACAATAGTTGTTGGCAGTTTGTGGGGGCAGGGAGTGAGACTTGATGAACTGAAACACAGACAACAGTTGTTGGCAGTTTGTGGGGGCAGGGAGTGAGACTTGATGAACTGAAACACAGACAACAGTTGTTGGCAGTTTGTGGGGGCAGGGAGTGAGACTTGATGAACTGAAACACAGACAATAGTTGTTGGCAGTTTGTGGAGGCAGGGAGTGAGACTTGATGAACTGAAACACAGACAATAATTGTTGGCAGTTTGTGGGGGCAGGGAGTGAGACTTGATGAACTGAAACACAGACAATAGTTGTTGGCAGTTTGTGGGGGCAGGGAGTGAGACTTGATGAACTGAAACACAGACAATAGTTGTTGGCAGTTTGTGGGGGCAGGGAGTGAGACTTGATGAACTGAAACACAGACAATAGTTGTTGGCAGTTTGTGGGGGCAGGGAGTGAGACTTGATGAACTGAAACACAGACAATAGTTGTTGGCAGTTTGTGGGGGCAGGGAGTGAGACTTGATGAACTGAAACACAGACAACAATTTTGAGAATCCATCCATCCAAGAGTTAGTACTGGTAAGCTTGTTGGGAAACTGGATGGTACTCACATCATTGACTGGCATGTCAGGGTAAGTGTTGCGTGACTGAGATCTGGCAACAGGCATCTGAACTGTTCGACCTCTGACCTCCTGTCTCTCCTTGACCTTCTGGGGTTCATTACTGTCCGTCTCATGAATCTTGAGCACTGACCTGTCCTTGATTTCCCTAAAGGTCAATACCTTTACATTTACTACATGGTCATTCATTTTTTACTGAGTTGGTAAAGTTTGAAATAAGAAACAATGGTTGTTTTTTGGCACCTCAATTCAAAAACTGGTCCCCTCCAAATTAACCTCTGAACTTAAAAACTGTCCCCTGTAAATGAATCCTCCTCCACTAAAAAACTGACCCCTATAAAAAATGTACCCATCAACTCAAAAACTGACCCCTATAAAAAATGTACCCATCAACTCAAAAACTGACCCCTATAAAAAATTAACCCACCAACTCAAAAACTGACCCCTGTAAATGACCCCATCAACTCAAACACTGACCCCAGATCCTCCAGCTGAAAGTAGATGTTGGTGGCGGGGTCGAGGATGTAGATTTTCTTCCTGGGACTCTCCAGCATCTCAAGGGTCAGGTCAGGGAAGGCACGGACAAACAGCGCTCGGACAGTGTCCAGTGTGGTGATTTCATTGGGCAGAAGTGACTTCTTGGTCTGGTCCCCAAACACAAGGAACACCAAACCTAGAGAGTATGACGTAGACAATGACATGACAATAGGAGGAAGATACTATCAGTAGTTTCCCTCTAGACCTGCTGATCCATAAGGCTGATTAATTCATCTGTTTCTTAACCATGACATATGAAGGTATGGTGTTGTCAGACACATCTGACACAAACTCACTACAACTTGTCAATGTCACAAAATCTCACTAGGATAAAATTGAAATGATAGGAGGGCTTCAACAACAAACAACGTTGCTATGACAACAGACACAGGATTGCATTAAAGAATATGGATGAACAACTCTAAATTTATTTATTTTTAAAACTACATTTGGACATCGAGCCAGTCCTAGGTAGCCTGGGCTATCTAACTATCTGACATGCAACCTAGACTCCCTAAGGGAACTAATCTAAGGCGGGATCTGGTCTCATGCAGTACCTACCCAGGGGCCTCTCGAGGGAGGTTGAAGCACTCCTGACTATGGGTAGACTGGTCCTCATGAACCCTCCTCTTTGGAAGGATGGTAATTCAAGGTCACTCATCGTTCCAAGATCCTCATACTCCATGGTATGTCCACTCTGGTTGGGGTCATAGTTCACCAGACGACGCCTCTGTGAATCCCTCGACCTAGCAGGCTGTGAAATAAACAACAAAAGTTAAACAGTTAAACACACAATGAAAACACAATAAACAGACAATAAACACACAATAAACACGTGTTTACTGGATCATAAAGAAACATATCCATCACAAAAACTGCTAGATTATTTCCACAAGTTCAATGCTCCCACCGAAACCTCCAACATGTGGCCGGCCATGTTTGTTTGATACCCGACCAGGCTACCGTTGTTGACACAGCAGACGACCACATACAAGGGACGATAACTCTCAGCTTAAAGATAACTCGCAGTGACCGCTTCAGGTATTTTGTAATCATGTCAGATAAGTCAAAGGTCAGCGATAACAAAAGTCGGAACAATTCGTGCTGTAAATCTGTGTTGGGCTGTCACCTTTGGGTGTTATACCTGCAACAGGCTGTCACCTTTGGGTGTTATACCTGCTACAGGCTGTCACCTTTGGGTGTTATATTATACCTGCAACAGACTGTCAACTTTGGGTATTATATTAACCTGCAACAGGCTGTCACCTTAGGGTGTTGTACCTGCAACAGGCTGTCACCTTTGGGTATTATATTAACCTGCAACAGGCTGTCACCTTTGGGTGTTATACCTGCAACAGGCTGTCAACTTTGGGTATTATATTAACCTGCAACAGGCTGTCACCTTAGGGTGTTGTACCTGCAACAGGCTGTCACCTTTGGGTATTATATTAACCTGCAACAGGCTGTCACCTTTGGGTGTTGTACCTGCAACATGCTGTCAACTGTGTATTATAAAACCAATATCAGTTACGTCACTACAAGCAAGCTATCACTAAAAACACACACAGCCCACACCCCCCAGTGAGTTGATGAAAGAGGTGACAAGAAATCTTATCGTCTGTATCTCAAGTGTCTGACACCTGAGATTGACAGACCAACACACCTGAGACTGACAGACCAACACACCTGAGACTGACGGACCAACACACCTGAGATTGACAGACCAACACACCTGAGACTGACAGACCAACACACCTGAGACTGACGGACCAACACACCTGAGACTGACGGACCAACACACCTGAGACTGACAGACCAACACACCTGAGACTGACAGACCAACACACCTGAGACTGACAGACCAACACACCTGAGACTGACGGACCAACACACCTGAGATTGACAGACCAACACACCTGAGACTGACAGACCAACACACCTGAGACTGACAGACCAACACACCTGAGACTGACGGACCAACACACCTGAGACTGACGGACCAACACACCTGAGACTGACAGACCAACACACCTGAGACTGACGGACCAACACACCTGAGATTGACAGGCTAACACACCTGAGACTGACAGACCAACACACCTGAGACTGACGGACCAACACACCTGAGATTGACGGACCAACACACCTGAGACTGACAGACCAACACACCTGAGACTGAAGGACCAACACATGTAGACCCATGTAAAATCTGTTCAACATAAATAACTACAACAAATTTATTGGGTCAGGTCACTAAAGGGTTTCTGGTCAGTTTATATAGGTCAGTTTATCACACCAACACACGGGTCAAGCTCATGTGCTATGTAGACTCGTCAAAGTTTCAACACATCCGTCTATTCAACAATTGGACGTGTGTCGTGATCCAACATCCGTCTATTCAACAATTGGACGTGTGTCGTGATCCAACATCCGTCTATTCAACAATTGGACGTGTGTCGTGATCCAACAACAACCAAGCACTCACGTGACCCATTTGGGTTGTGACGTCACCTCACGATCTTTACAACACTGCCATTAACAAACAAACAAACATTGTCACCATTTCATATATCCCATTTGAATCCCCACATAAATAATAAATGTCAACATCCGCCTAGGCGAGGAAGCGGTGGATCCATATTGGGCGCCAGTAGTGATCAGACACCAACACTACATCGATTTAGTAAACAACCAATGGGAACGCTGGGAATCTGGGTCACGCAAAACTTTCTATAATTAAAGTGTTGCCTGCGTAACAGTCGAAGTTAAAAATAGAACTGATGCCAGACGATGGTGGTGCCAGCTTCAAGGCTGCAAGTAGTCGCTGTGTACAGATCAGGGCAAGAGATGTCACACATCAAACATGTCACACATCAAACATGTCACACATCAAACATGTCACACAGCAAACATGTCACACATCAAACATGTCACACAGCAAACATGTCACACATCAAACATGTCACACATCAAACATGTCACACATCAAACATGTCACACAGCAAACATGTCACTTGAAACATGACAATTGAAACATGTCACTTGAAACATGTCATTTGAAACATGTCATGATGATGAAACAAACAACATCAGGGCTATTCAATAATTTAATTACACAGAGAAATATTCCTTTCCTCTAAAGTTCGCCTTAAACAAGATTCTCGTAAAACCAACAACAGAGAGGTAAAAAAAATATACAAGGACGTGGTATCACGATGTCAGGGGTCATTGAATTCCAGGTGAGCACATGACCCGACGGTGATGGTCTGATGACCAAGGTTACGTAAGCTGCCAGGTTTATGTTAATGACTGACATCATCATGAGTTCTTCTAATTAGAGGCATACAGCCTGATTACAACGCGAGGGGTAGGGGAGGCATTTCTAGTCCAGAGTATACAAGACAATAACAGTAAGGTCAGCTAGAGCGGACTACAGATTAAGAACAAAGAAGAAGAAGGACTACAGGCCCAGCTAGAGTGGACTACAGGCCCAGCTACAGGCCCAGCTAGAGTGGACTACAGGCCCAGCTACATGCCCAGCTAGAGTGGACTACAGGTCCAGCTATAGTGGACTACAAGCCTAGCTATAGTGGACTACAGGCCCAGCTACAGTGGACTACAGGCCCAGCTACAGGCCCAGCTAGAGTGGTAGTATATACAATCTACCACATCAAAACATGTTACCTACCATAATATATAGTTATACAAGCAAACAAAAAGCTCACAGACGTACGTTATATGACGTTGTGTCCATTACTGGTCAAGAGGTACCCGTATAGCCTGTACGTGTATATGTATCAGCTATTCCGATGCCCACACGCAACATATGCATGTCCTAACCTTAGTTTTTAACAGATTTTGTCCGTCCGATAACTGTCGATAATTAAAAGTTTTTACCATGACTCAGCTGATGACCTGTATCGACGTACAGTAGAGATCGATAAGGTAATCGATAGACAACACCATTAGGATGGACCATAAACAACAAGATCAGAGTTATCAGTGATGAGGGGATAAAAATAGATTCAGGAATTCAATAACAGCGTTCATTTATAAACAAACACCGACATTGGCCCAACTGGCTGACAGTAGAACACGTTGGCCACCTACAGATCGCTTTGGCCACTGTAATGGCAGCTGATATTAGAACACGTTGGCCACCTACAGATCACTTTGGCCACTGTAATGGCCACTGATATTAGAACACGTTGGCCACCTACAGATCACTTTGGCCACTGTAATGGCCACTGATATTAGAACACGTTGGCCACCTACAGATCACTTTGGCCACAGTAATGGCCACTGATATTAGAACACGTTGGCCACCTACAGATCACTTTGGCCACAGTAATGGCCACTGATATTAGAACACGTTGGCCACCTACAGATCACTTTGGCCACAGTAATGGCCACTGATATTAGAACACGTTGGCCACCTACATATTACTTTGGCCACTGTAATGGCCACTGATATTAGAACACGTTGGCCACCTACAGATCACTTTGGCCACTGTAATGGCCACTGATATTAGAACACGTTGGCCACCTACAGATCACTTTGGCCACAGTAATGGCCACTGATATTAGAACACGTTGGCCACCTACAGATCACTTTGGCCACAGTAATGGCCACTGATATTAGAACACGTTGGCCACCTACAGATCACTTTGGCCACAGTAATGGCCACTGATATTAGAACACGTTGGCCACCTACAGATCACTTTGGCCACAGTAATGGCCACTGATATTAGAACACGTTGGCCACCTACATATTACTTTGGCCACTGTAATGGCCACTGATATTAGAACACGTTGGCCACCTACATATTACTTTGGCCACTGTAATGGCCACTGATATTAGAACACGTTGGCCACCTACAGATCACTTTGGCCACTGTAATGGCCACTGATATTAGAACACGTTGGCCACCTACAGATCACTTTGGCCACAGTAATGGCCACTGATATTAGAACACGTTGGCCACCTACAGATCACTTTGGCCACAGTAATGGCCACTGATATTAGAACACGTTGGCCACCTACAGATCACTTTGGCCACAGTAATGGCCACTGATATTAGAACACGTTGGCCACCTACAGATCACTTTGGCCACAGTAATGGCCACTGATATTAGAACACGTTGGCCACCTACAGATCACTTTGGCCACAGTAATGGCCACTGATATTAGAACACGTTGGCCACCTACATATTACTTTGGCCACTGTAATGGCCACTGATATTAGAACACGTTGGCCACCTACATATTACTTTGGCCACTGTAATGGCCACTGATATTAGAACACGTTGGCCACCTACAGATCACTTTGGCCACAGTAATGGCCACTGATATTAGAACACGTTGGCCACCTACAGATCACTTTGGCCACAGTAATGGCCACTGATATTAGAACACGTTGGCCACCTACAGATCACTTTGGCCACAGTAATGGCCACTGATATTAGAACACGTTGGCCACCTACAGATCACTTTGGCCACAGTAATGGCCACTGATATTAGAACACGTTGGCCACCTACATATTACTTTGGCCACTGTAATGGCCACTGATATTAGAACACGTTGGCCACCTACAGATCACTTTGGCCACAGTAATGGCCACTGATATTAGAACACGTTGGCCACCTACAGATCACTTTGGCCACAGTAATGGCCACTGATATTAGAACACGTTGGCCACCTACATATTACTTTGGCCACTGTAATGGCCGCTGATATTAGAACACGTTGGCC